TATTATATATTTTTTTTAATTTGTCATAGATTACATTAAAATCTTAATTAACGTTCGGAAAAAATGTATCTCTGGAAAACATTACAGTTAGAATCTTCAAAATTATTAAGAAGATTTTTTATTTATATTGCTTTTAGGGTAGCAAAGCACGCTGGGTATAGCTAGTGATCTATATATATTTAAAAATCAATGTATGTTTATTTGTTTGTACCTTATAGGAGGCTAAACCACAGAAGCGATCTTCTTGAAATTTTCAGTGCATGTTCCCATATATCCGGAAGGAACTATAGGCTACTTTTTATTTTGAAATTGCAAGTTGGAGGGGTGCCACGCCCACTTCTTCAAAAGCTAAATATCTCTGAACATGGTACGACTAATGTTTTTATGGATAATTTTGACATTCATATGATTATTTGGTGAAAAAATTAGAGGACTTGCAATAGGGGGCATGGCACCCCCCATCTATATATATAAAAATGAATGTGTGTTTGTTTGTTTGTTTGGACTTTATAGACAGCTAAACGGCTGGACCGATTTTTCACAGTGTCTTCCTGGATGTCTGGAAGAAACTATGTGCTACTTTTAACTTCAAACTTTCAAGTGGGTGACGTGCCACGCCCACATTCAAAATAAGTATTAAAATTCGCATATCTCAAAAACTGCAAGAGTTGGAGCCTTTTGTATGGACAGCTTTGACATCCACAAGAATATTTTTTGATAAATTGGGCGGAATGGCTATAGTGTGCGTGGCATCTTTCATGTGTTGGTACCTCTCATATGAAATAAGTAGAAAAAAGTTAGACTGCTATATTCGGCTATGCCGAATCTTAAATACCCTCCACCAGCAATCTACTTTTTATTAAAACCCATTTAACATCTAATTTTTAGATAACTTGACTTCATATAGGAGCTACGACCAATTACGGGCCTCTCCTGAAAAATTTCGTAGAGTGATTCCCATCTATGAACACAAAACATATTTGTGTCGAATTTTATCAATATAGCTTTATTGGACAATGAAATATTTAAGTTTAAATTATTTTCGGAAGAGGGCCTTATATGGGAGCTATGACCAATAATGGACCGATCCGGGGAAAAATTGTTAGAATGACTTATACGTACACAAAACATATTGAAGTTGAATTTTATACCGATAGCTTTATTTATCAATGAAACATATGCGTTTAAATTAATTTCGGAAGAGGACCCTATATGGGAGCTATGACCAACTATGGTCCTATCCGAAAAAAAATTCGTAGAGTGATTCATATATAGACGAAACATATTTGTGTCGAATTTTATTTATTTGACAATTAAATATGTGCGTTTAAGTAATTTTTATGGGAGCTATCACCAATAATGGACCGATCCGGGGAAAAATTGTTAGATTGTACACAAAACATATTGAAGTTGAACTTTATACCGATAGCTTTATTTATCAATGAAATATATGCGTTTAAATGATTTTCGGAAGTGGACCCTATATGGGAGCTATGACCAATTATGGTCCTACCCGAAAAAATTTCGTAGAATGCTTCATATATAGACGAAACATATTTGTGTCGAATTTTATTCATTTATTTATTTATTTATTTATTTATTTATTTATTTATTTATTTGACAATTAAATATGTCCGTTTAAGTGATATTCGGAAGTGGGACTTATATGGGAGCTATGACTAATAATGGACTAATCCGAAAAGAAATTTTGGTAGAATGATTTGTATGTACACAAAACATATTCATATTCGAATTTTATCACAAAAGCTTTATTTGTCAATGAAATATGTGCGTTTAGGTGATTTTTGGAAGTGGACTTTACATGGGAGCTATGACGAATTGTGGACCGACTGAGATCTACGTTGGTAGTATGATTTCTATTCATATTATATTTGTATGTACAAAATTTTGTGTTGATATCGATATATTTGAGGAAGTTATAAACGATAAACTTATATCCGGGAATATATTCTTTTGTATGGGGGCTATGGGAAATATTGGATCATATTTGTACCTCCCATATGAATTAAATAACAAATTCATATGTATATCTGAGAAACTATTAGAGCTAGAAAACTTTACATGAAAAACTTTGATATTTATGTGAACATTTAGAGAAAATTGGGCCTACTTTCAATGGGACCTTGGCATCTCCCATATGAATTAAATTATTATATTATTCAAATTTTTCATAGGTTACATCTATATATATAAAAATGAATGTGTGTTTGTTTGTATGTTTGTATGTTTGTATGTTTGAACGTTATAGACTACTAAACGGCTGAACCGATTTTCTTGAAATTTTCACAGCATATTCCTGCATGTCTGGAATAGGTAATAGGCTACTTTTTATTTCGAAATTTCAAGTGGGCGATGAGCCACGCCCACATTAAGAAAATATAAAATCCGTATATTTTAGATAATATAACAGTTAGAGTCCTCAAATTTTGTCGGAGCCACTTTAGTGTCAATATGATCATTTAGGACAAAAAGTAGGCGGACTAGCATTAGGGGGCGTGGTACCTCCCATATAAATTAAATACAAAAATTCTTTTATCTGGGAAACTAATAGAACTAAATTCTTAAAATTTAGCACGAAGAACTTTAACATCCATATAAACATTTTGGGTAATAAATTGGCGGACTACCCATGAGGGGAGCGGCACCTCCCATATTAATTAAATACAAAAATTCGTTTATCTGGGAAACTAATAGAACTAAATTCTTAAAATTTTGCACAAAGAACTTTAACATCCATATAAACATTTTGGGTAAAAAATTGGCGGACTACCCATGAGGGGAGCGGCACCTCCCATATTAATTAAAAACAAAAATTCGTTTATCTGGGAAACTAATAAAACTAAATTCTTAAAATTTTGCACGAAGAACTTTAATATTCATCTGAACATTTTTAAGGAAAAAAGAGCGGACTTTCATCTGGGGGGCTTGGAGCCCCCATATGAATAAAATAGAAAAATTCGTATAACTGAGAAACAATTAGAGCTAGAATCATTAAATTTTACTTGAAGAACTTTGACATTCACCTGAACATTTAGAATATAACGGGCGGACTTCCAATGGGTTACTTGGTACCTCCCATATGAATTAAATACAAAATTTCGTTTAACTGGGAAACTAATAGAACTAGATTCTTCAAATTTTGAACAAATTATTTTAATAATCATCTGAATATTTTGGAGGAAAAAGGGCGGACTTTCATCCGGGGGGCTTGAAGCCCCCACATGAATTAAATTCGTATATCTGAGAAACTATTAGAGCTAGAATCTTAAAATTTTACATGAAGAACTTTGACATTCATGTGAACATTTAGAGAATAACGGGCGGACTTTCAATGGGGGGCTTGGCACCACATATATGAATTAAATACAAAATTTCGTGCATCTTGGAAACTCTTATATTATTCAAATTTTTTGTAGATAGATAGAAATTGGCGATAGATAGAAACTGGCGAACTTGCAATAATTTGCTTGACATCTTTTATATGTAACATATAATAAATCTGGTATTTATTTATACATATTCCTTTTAGGGTAGCAAAGCACACTGGGTATAGCTAGTAGATTAATAATTAAAATTTCTTTTAATCATAAACTTAATTGATTTTTTATAATTGTTCTACCAAACAGTTTTTTATTATATCCTACACCACTTTAGTGGGGAGGATAACATACAAAAATATTCATCCTATACCCACCTTAAAGTATACCAATCGGCTTAGAATCGTTTTCTGAGTCCATTAAGCTATGTCCGTCCGTCCGTCTGGCTGGATGGCTGTCCATGTAAACCTTGAGCGCAAGGTACAAGCCGCAATTTTCATGATAATTGGATGAGATTTGACACACACGTTTTATTTGGCCTAAGGGCGAAGCCTATTGAAAATGGTTAAAACCGGTCCATTATTTCACCTAGCTCCCATAGAACAGAACCCCCCGAAAAGGGCTTCTGAGCTCATAATTATGTTAAATATACAGGTATATCGATAAAACGCGATATAAAATGACCCTGCCAAATTTCATAAAGATCGGGCCCCATTTGACCCTAGCTCCCACACAATGTCCCCTTCAGAAAATTACTTGAATGTCCCAAATTAACTTATAAACACAAATATCGCGATGAAATTCAGTACAATAAAATATTATGTAAATATAAATATATTCACAAAATTTTATCGGGCTTGGTCCATATTTGCCCCTAGCCCCCATATAAAGCCTCTTTCAGAAAATTAGTTTTTCATCCATAAATTGCTTAAATGTATCGGAACAAGGGAATATTGAAGATAAATGCTTTATTATGAAAAATAAATCACATTTAATATTCATAACTGGTGTAGGGTATCATATGGTCGGCCACGCCCGACTATACTTTCTTACTTGTTAAATATTTAATTTATACAATTAATGAATTATTCAATTTTAAGTTTTGTCTCAATTTTTTATGTTAATTGTTCTGATTAATTCATTAATTGGAAAAAAAGTACTTTTTATTTTTTTTTTACAAATTTGATAATTGATATCATCATTTTGGTGATTGGTGCAAAACTTGCTTGACGCAAATATTTTGATAATTGAAATGTATTTTCTGTGTTTTTCTGTGCAGAATAAATTAAATTTTCCGGCAGAAAAAAATTTTTCCCCAATTGAAGCAAATCCCCAAAGAGGTATTTCTACCATTTTAAAAAATATGACTACATAAAGCTGCTATTGACATCGGTATTGTAATAAAAAAATAAATAGAACATTTTAACGGGGGTCCTAGGAAGTATTCAATCTCAAATGAATAACAAAATTCTAAAAAATCATTTTGAAATTCAGTCTCATAAATCTAGCCAATCACGTAAATCTAGTCTTGGGTCAAATATATTTTCTTGATTATAAGTCCAAGAGTCTTAATGAGACCTGACATTATAAGAGTTATCTCTCACAGATTCTTATTTAAACCAATTACGAATTATCAAAGTTAGAAAAAAACTAAAAAAAACATTTTATTTGTGTTTAAAAGTTCGAGTTTTATTTGCTTAAAATTAAACAACAATAACAATAAACATCAGATCTTACAAGCGACGGAAAATTGAAGCGGGAAGATAAGATGGACCTGGAGCTGAAACACCAGCGCTAGATGAAGGAGGAATATAAGATGCACCAACATTTGAAACACCACCAAGGGAACCTGTACCGATAGAACCAGTACCGAAAGAACTACCACCAAGGGAACTAGCACCAAGAGAACCGGCACCAAGAGAACCAGCTCCATGAGAACCAACACCAGGAGAACCAGCGGATCCATGTGTTGCAACAGGAGCTTTCGAGGCAAAGTTCAATACTGGAGCAACACCGCCATCATGAGATTGAGAAGTACCACCCAAAGAATCATATTGACCTTGAATTGCTTTTTGGGCATTGATGGCATCTTCTTGGGTACGATATTTAACAAAATGTACTTCTGGTTTGTTGTTGTTGTTCTTGTTGTCAGTGCTCAATTTGTTAGCCAAGGTACTAAGGTCAGCTTGTTTCTGGAGAACATAAATATCGGTCTTTTGTTCAGAACCCTGTTTTGCCAAAGTAAGAGCAGCATTTTCCAATCCGCTGTTTTCAGGGCCCTTAATGAAAATAACACGGAGACCTTGCTTCACAGAGTTAGACAATTGATTGGATGCAGCGGGATCATTGAAGTCTTCATCGTTGGCGGTATAAGTGAAGAATTCCTTTTCAAGTTCAGCTTGGGGAGCGAATGCAGCATTATCGTGAGAAGCTTGACCTAAATCGCCTTGAGAGCCAGCAAAACTAGGGGCGGCACTTGAACCAGCAGCATAATCGGAAGTTCCTTGAGATCCAGCAAAACTAGGGCCGGCATTTAAACCAGTGGCATAATCGGAAACTCCTTGAGAACCAACGAAACTGGGGGCTACATTAGAACCGGCAGCGTAGTTGGATACTCCTTGAGAACCAACAAAACTGGGGGCTGCATTAGAACGAGCAGCAAAGTTGGAAACTCCTCCAGAACCAGCGTAACTGGAAGAACCGCTAGATCCAATAGAAACCTCAGCACCACCTTGTAAACCAGCAAAACTGGGCACACTGTTTGAGCTGTGACCCACTGGTTGATAGTTGTAACCCAATTGATTGGCGCAAGCTGCTGCCACTAAACACAATATAACAAAAGCACGCATTATTTTCCTTTGTTGTTTAATATTCGTTACTAGAATGATTCCTAATCGATTAGGATTAGGCTTATATACTAAAGATTTGGTATTAAATTTAAAGCAGAATTTGCTTTAAATAAATTAATTAAATATAATAAAACATTAGTTATTCCTTCCTACTCTGTTAACATTAGCAAGTTAAAATTTTGATTGTGAATTTCTAATTTAATTTTTAACATTTAGTTTGCATAATTTGGAAAAAACTAATAGTTTTTTTTTTAATTGTTATCTATCAATCTTGTGTGTTCGTTTTCGCAAAATTAAAATTGCAAGTTTTAAATAAATATTTATATTTTTTAAAGTTAACATAGAATAAAGATATTTTTACTAAAAAAATGCATCCTTATTGATTATTAATCATTGTGCTTTATTTGCTTTTTTTGTATGTATTTTTTACTTTTCTATATTTTTTTTTTATTTTTCTACATTTTATATTTTCCTTACATATTTATACGTCATTAAAGCCATCTTTTGAATTTTTGTAATATTTAATTAATTACTTGTGTTAATTAATTACTTGTGTTCTATTTGAATATAAATAAATTAGTGTATGTATCTACTTATTAACTGGTTAATAATAACATTGACTTAATATAAAAATGAAAAGTAGATTTTGTTTACAATATTTGTTAAATTGTGTAGGTATTAATTAAAAAACGAATCGAAAAGAAACAAATAAAACGAAATAAATATGTATGTAAACTAAAATAGAAATAAAGTTAGCTATTAATCGAAACATCCACAATAATTTTATATATTTTGAACATAATTAGGCCCAAACCAGAAATATATTTTATTCATTCACACATTCACTTTTCTGTATACAACAAAACTTTTACATAATATGTATACATATTAGAATGATTCAAGCTTGTATGAATGAAAAAAAAAATCCCCCTCTATAATTGTTCTATGGGTTGTAAAACTATGTCATACAAAAATTAAGGCTGATTGGATAACGTTAACAGGTGCCGCAACTGAAGTTTTCAAGTGCATTTACAAGGGGAGTTTTTGCTAAAATTTGGCTATTTAGTAATAAATTTTGAACTTTATTGTAAAGGAATCGTAATGTGCACAAAGTAAGCATTTCGGAAAGATATAAAACACAAAAATTGCTTAAAAACTTTAAAAGTTATTGCAAATTCCCCAGGCCATTAACGTGTCTCACAGCTAGGGTTGCCAGCCTGGCTGGACTTGGCTGGGTTGTCCAGCTTTTTTGATGCTTGTCCAGTTTCAAGCTAAAATTTAATTTAGCTAAATAGAATTTTTTTAGTACACTACAATAACTTAGGAAATATTTTTTATGTTATCTTTGTCAAATCATGTTAGCCAACACTGTTTGTACATTTGTTATACAACTATGTTATGATTTCCCTCTTCTATCATCACTGACAACATGTCTCAACACTTGAAAAGCTGATGTCGTAATAAATATGTATTATTGCGAGCGATAGTCAATTTCTTTACGTACAGCTTACGTACTTATGATTTTTAAAATTTAAAACTTCAAAAATGGCGCTTTTTAATTTAATTTATTTTCAAATAAACCTAGCCTATTGGCCATAATCGGTCACAAATTTCTACTTAAAAAATAATTGTTCACATCTTTTGCTCTTAAAAACTAAGTTATCGAAGTGATCGGGGAAAACTAAAAATATATTCGTACTCTATGGACTATTACAAAACGGAATTGGTATATGAGAACCCCTGCATTAATATGTCCAGCTTCTTTTATTTTGTCCAGCTTTTTAAAACCCAATGTCCAGCTTTTTGCGAATCGGAATCTGACAACCCTACTCACAGCACATAAATTCGAAAGGATTTCGGGAAAATCGCATTTTTTGTAATATTTTAGAGAATACGTATTAATTCTTTACTGTTGCACTTTTTACTTAAATCAGAGTATTATAGTCCAGATAATATAAAATATATATCCGAAGTTTTATTAAAATCGGACATTCTTAACCCATAAACTGTGGAGTTGAAAGGTAAAATTTTGGAATATTTGGGATTTTTTTACCATATTGAAATAATATTTATTTGTCTGTCATATTTACCAAAAATGACTGGAATTTATCGTATATAGTCCGATATTTAAAATAGAGTGAAAAAAGGTAGATTAACCCTTTATGGCACTTGGGAATAATTTAACACCAAAGTTCAAAAATTCGAAAAAACACTATCTATTAGAATAATTCTATATATGTACATATATAAATATAAGGGAAAAACAGAAATAAATCAAACAAGATAGAGTGCTATATTCGGCATATATACATATTCATGTCGAATTTTATCCGGATATAATCATTTAATAACGAATGAAGTGGTATTACGTGATTTTCAGAAGTAAAGCTTATATGAGAGCTAAGACAAATTCCGTAGAATGATTTATATGCTCACAAAACATATTCCAGTCGTACTTTATCCCGATAGCTTTATTATTCAATGAAATATGTGCCTTTAAATGATTTTCGGAAGTGGGCCTTATATGGGAGCTATGACCGATAATGGTCCGTAAAAAAATTGATAGAATGATTTGTATGTACATAAGACATATCTGTGTTGAATTTTATCACAATAGCTTTATTTATCAATGAAATATGTGCGTTTAGGTGATTTGTGGAAGTGGACCTTATATGGGGAACAATTGTGGACCGATTAAGATCTACGTCGATAGAATGATACTGATATATTTAAGGGAGTTATTAACGATAAACAAATTTCCGGGAATATATACCTTTGAATGGGTAATATTGGATCGATTTGTATGGGAAATATTGGATCGATTATAAAGATTTTGAACATAATTGATCACTGCTTTGAAAAAATAATGTGTGACAAAATTCATCTAAATATCTTTGGTAGTTTCTGAGATAACTTGTTAAGAATTAGGAAAAAAACGTATTTTTTTCGAGGTAGTCTGAAAATTTACTCATAAATTTTTACGTTGTGAACCGATTTTGCTGATTTTCAATATCAAACTGCTTGGGATAATAATAAATATTTTGGGTGAATTTGGTTGATTTCCTTTGCTTAGTTTTAAAGTGAGCGTGTTTTAGGCAGCTAAATCGACTCAGAATTTCATAAGGACCCAGAATATATATACTTTGTTAGGTCTTAAATTAATATTTCTTGGTGTTACACACGGAACGATAAACTTGTATCACCACTGATGGTGGTGGAGGGTATATAAATTCTATATTATATATAAAAAATTATACTTTAACCCTTTTTGACTATGGAATAAACTTGAGGTGCACATTTTTAAAAGAAAAATTTTGTTTTTAAAACTGATAATTTACTTAATCCTTTTTTACGGTCGATTTTCAATGTAATATGTCTAAAAATACAAATTTACATGGTCAAAAAGGGTTAATTCATATGTTTTTATACTCAATATAGATTTTTTTTGGTTTTATTTCTGTTATTCCTTTAATTATATAGAGCATTATTCAAATAGAGAGTGTTTTTTCGAATTTTTGAACTTTGGTGTTAAATTGTTCCCAAGTGCTTTAAAGGGTTAAGCTACCTTTTTTCACTCTATTTTAAATATCGTACTATATACGATAAATTGCAGTCATGTTTGGTAAAGATGGCCGACTAATAAATATTATTTTGATATGGTACACTAGGAATTCCCAAATATTCCAAAATTTGACATTTGAACTCTACAGTTTATGAGTTAAGAATGTAAAACTTCGGATATATATTTTATATTATCTGGACTATAATACTCTGATAATACTTTATTTAAAATATGCATCAGTAAAGAATTAATACGTATCCTCTAAAATATTACAAAAAATGCGATGTTCCCGAAATCCGCCGAGTTCAAATCGCAGGTACAGCTAAACTGTAAGAAATATTGATATTGATAATATTTTTACCGTTTAACAGCCTTATCTACTGACCATAAATACCCATGAGATCTCCTAAAAATTTTGAAATTTGTTTAACAAAGATTAAAAAAACCGAAATTGGAGATTTGAAACGGCCGTTGAAAAAATCAAACTTTTTGACCATAGCTGATAAGAAGTTTGCGTTATCTTATAAGGGCAAAAACTAATATTCGAGTAATTATAGATATTTTTTAAGTAACAAAATGTTTTTGTTAGAATATATTCCAAAAAAAGGAAATTTTTATGTCACATTTCGGATTCATGTGCTGTGGGACACATTAATGGCCTGGGGAATTTGCAATAACTTTTAAAATTTGCAAGCAATTTTTGTGTTTTATATCTTTCCGAAATGCTTACTCTGTGCACATTACGATTCCTTTACAATAAGTTCAAAATTTATTACTAAATGGCCAAATTTGAACGAAAACTGAATAAAATCGATATTTTCCCCTTGTAAATGCACTTGAAAATTTTAGAGCCGTTGCGGCACCTGTTAACGTTGTCCTATCAGCCTAATTTTTTGTATGACATAGTTTTACTCAAAGAACAATTCTAGAAGGGGGGACGGGCAAAATTCGCAACTTCGTTCTTTTGGAGCACTCTAATATAGTTTATATATAGCTAATATAACAAATAAATAGGGTTTATATTAAAACAATTTCAGTGAATGCAGAAACATCATATATGTAGATATGTTATCCGGATATGAATTCGTTTTGTGTATAGATAAATAATCCTGCAAAATTTAGTTCGGGTAGGCACTTTATTGCTCATAGCTCCCATATAAGGGAGCTAGGGGAATATATTTGCTATATATATTAGGCTACACGCGATATTTTTGAAATTGTGATACCATATGTTTTTGGATCCGAATTTTAAAATTTGACTTTAGTATACAATTTGGATGCACTATAATGCAATTAAAAAACAAGTAATAAATTATAGTCGGGCGAGGCCGACCATATAATACCCTAAACCTGTTACAAAAATAAAATGTGAAATAATGGGCCGATGTTAACCATTTTCAATAGGCTTCGTCTCCGGTAGAAGATCATGTGCCAAATTTCATTGAATTATCATAAAAATTGCGACCTGCAGTTTGATTACAAGGTTTACAAGCGCTATTCAGGTGTTCAGTTGTACGGGGGCTAGGTGAAATAATGGGCCGATGTTAACTATTTTCAATAGGCTTTGTCTCCGGTACCATAGAAGATCATGTGCCAAATTTCATTTAATTATCATCAAAATTGCGACCTGCAGTTTGATTACAAGGTTTACAAGCCCTATTCAGGAGTTCAGTTGTATAGGTCAAATAATGATCCGATATTAACCATTTTCAATACTTCGTCCCTGGGACAATAGAAGATCATGTACCAAATTTCATTGAATTATCTTCAAAATTGCGACCTGTAGTTTGATTACAAGGTTTACATGGACGGACAGACGGACGGACTCAATCAATATACCCTCCCCACTAAAGTAGTGTATCATTTGTAAATATTATATTAAATATAAAAATAGTGTTAAAATTGTTAATTTATTGTAATACGTTTAGGAGTTATGATGTTAATAATGTTAACTTCTGGGTTAATAATTTTCCAACAAACAATGGTTTTTTCATCATCACCTCCGAATTTAAAAAAATCCGCCAATTTATTGTTCCATATCGTGGTTTTCGTAATATAGCGTTGTAAATTTTAAAATTTGTGTCAGCAAAAAGCATGCATTGATTATGTGCAGAGCAAAATATTGTTTGAAATATTTTTTAAAAATAACGCATCTTTGGATAATACTAAATGCACTTTTGGAGCATTATAAAAATGTGAAATTAAGCATATTCTTATTGATTATTTCCTATAAAATCAATTATTAAAGCATGATTTCTTATCAATTCTGCAGTTTTTGCTCCGTCTCAGATATGCATAAGAAGGAGTTGGAATTTTGAAAAAAATATTACATCATAGATATCACTGAAGTTGTGATATTATAAAAATTGGAAATATTTTGTTTTTTTAAGCGAAGGCTCATTTCGAAATGCGTGAAAATATAAAGATCGTGTCCATTAATTAAGCCATGTATTTATATTGATATATATACACGCAGAGAATAAATATGGTTGTGGTAGAAAAAAGACCTTTTGTGTTTAATTTTTTAAAACAAATATTTTTTTGTCGAAATTTTATCGTTATCGAGCGATTTATTGTCAGTGATTTTCTGTACAAGTGTAAATATGGAGGGTTGGTTCTTAAAATCTTTCCATCCAAGGTACTGAATAGTAGAATAAAAACCTACTTCTGAGCAATAGCTTCTTATATCTTATAAATATAAAATAATACCAATGGTTTGTTTCCAAATTTACAATTTGATGAAACCTAATATTTAGATAGTATGTGTAATGAGGATCCATGCGAGGGTACATAGAGCACCTGTACTGCAGCTCTGTACTCATGAGACCTTCCGTCTTGAGCTGAATATCGGTTATATGGTTTTTAATGGTCAGTAGGGAAATACTACAGAACTGGTTTCTATCAATTATAGCCATAGTAATTCCGTAAATTCGTCCTCCAAATTTTATGAGGATCGACTCATGTGAAGGTTTCCCCCAAGCATATTTCAGAAAAATAGTTTTTTAACAATAAATTGCTATAATATATCGGAGGCGAGGTATAAATGAACTTAAATGATTTATTATGAAAACTGTATCACATTTTACTCTCAGAACTGGTGTAGGGGGGTACTTGTTATTTTTATATATCCGATAGTATCTATGCCTATTGCCCTTTTTATTTTTGATATTTCAGCTTGTAGGTTAGTAGAGTAATCTTAAGTCCAAAAGATTTTAAAATTCTCTTATTTAATACTTTATAATGTAAAATAGCGGAAAAACACTTAAAAATTCGGGATTTTATAATCCCGAAATTCCCCGGGATTTCATTTTTTAAAATCCCGGTTTTCGGTACATTCAATTCCCGTTTGTAATCCCTAATTTCAGGGGATAAGGGTTGTATATGAACTCAAAATCTGTGACGTGAAAAATGGCTATTTAAATTTTTAAAAATCTTGTAACTCTAGTTTATGAAAGTTAGACCAATAAGTTAAATAATGAGAGTACAACTGTAAAATTAATGAAAAATATCTATAAAATTTCTAAGAATTTTATAAACCAATTTAAAATATGTATGCTTAAAATATTTTAAAATACTCATAGATGTTCTGATTAAAATTTATACCGGTTATATAAAAAATACATAAAAATGGAATCATCATAACTAGTTTGTCATATTGCAAATAAAATATTGACGTAGTATCTTCTTAATGCATTAATTAATTTACATAATAAGTATATCAAAAAAAAACTATTTCCTTATAATTAAGTACTTAAACTGGTTTGTATACATATCTAGAATGAGAAATATTAAAATTTTATATTATCTGAAATAATTATACCATTTTTATTGTCAAAATATTAGGTAAACACTTCTGACTGCTGAATTCAAGCTTGATATCAAGTTTTATAAAAATTATCGTATTTAGTTATAAAATGCAACTAAAAAATTTCCTAAAGATAAAATGAGTTTATGAGCACAAAGATGACTTGAAATTATGAATTAGAACTGGAACCAGAACCAAAAAGATCTACAATATGTATATGTAGTTTGACAAGAGGAATTAAAATTCATAAATTATATTAAGGAATACTTTGGAATTTTTACTTTTTGCTACTTGGTACAAATCTGCCTTTAAAATTATACTTACTTTATAAGGGGAGTTAAAACAAATTTTACTTATATTCGTTTAATTAAATACTCTTTTTATTATCGCCTCTTTTTTGCGATTATAATTGATAATAAAAAGAATAAGAAATGTATTAATGGTAAATACATAATAATCGCTTAATATAAAACAACAATAAAAACCTTATTCAGTCTGTAACAGCTTTACTTTCTTCATTCACTTACTTGCGATGACGACCGGCAATGAAAGAAGGAAGATAACTAGTGCTGGGACCTGAGACTACAGATGAGTCAAATGAACCAACGGAACCGACAGAGCCAGAAGATCCAAGGGAGCCGGATGAACCGAAAGAACCAACGGAGCCAGAAGAACCGAAAGAACCAGCAGAGCCAGAAGATCCAAGAGAACCGGAAGATCCGAAGGAACCACCAGAGCCAGAAGATCCAAGAGAACCGGAAGATCCGAATGAACCAAGGGAGCCGGAAGATCCATGAGAACCAGAAGATCCGAAGGAACCAACAGAGCCAGAAGATCCAAGAGAGCCGGATGATCCGAAGGAACCGTGAGAGCCATGGGCAGCAACGGGAGCCTTAGAAGCAAAGTTCAAAACAGGAGCTACACCACCATTGAAGTTTTGAGTGCTACCACCCAAAGAATCGTATTGGCCTTGGATAGCCTTTTGGGCGTTGATAGCATCTTCCTGGGTACGGTATTTGACAAAGTGTACTTCGGGTTTGTTGTTGACGTTGTTGTTGATGGTGGTCAATTTGTTGGACAAACTGCTGAGGTCAGCTTGTTTTTGGAGGACATAGATGGCAGTTCTTTGTTCGGCAGCATGTTTAGCCAAAGCAACAGCAGCATTTTCCAAGCCATGGTTTTCAGGGCCCTTAATGAAAATAACACGAAGGTTTTTCTTAGCAGAGCTAGCGACTTGTTGTTCAACAGCGGGTTCAGTGAAATCTTCTTCGTTGGCAGTAAAGGTGTAGAATTCCTTTTCGAGTTCAACTTGGGGAGCATAAGAAGCACCACCGTGGGAACCACCAACAGAACCAGAACTACCGAAACTGCCAGAGGAACCACCAACTCCAAAACCGCTGCTGGAGCCGCCGAAACCACCAGTAGAACCACCAACGCCAAAACCGCTGCTGGAACCGCCGAAACCACCAGTGGAACCACCAACACCGAAACCGCTGCTAGAACCACCATGACCGCCAGAGGAACCGCTAACGCCAAAGCCGCTGCTGGAACCGCCGAAACCACCAGAAGAACCACCAACTCCGAAACCGCTGCTAGAACCACCATGACCACCAGAGGAACCACCAACTCCGAAACCGCTGCTGGAACCGCCAAAGCCGGAGCTACCTGGAGTAAAGGATAATCCAGAACTGGAATGTCCCACAGGTTGGTAGTTGTAACCCAATTTATCGGCACAGGCAACAGCCACAAGGCAGAGTACAATGAAAGCTCTCATGTTTTCTTTTTAGAATCTTACTGTTCTCTGATGAGTTAAGTAATTAGAATGATTTAGCTTAGAATTTGAAGTGTCTTTTATACAAAACCCGCAAAGAAATTAAAAATTTCACAGTATCATTTCTATTCATATTTCAAATGTTTACTTTTATTTTTTTTATTTTAATTGTTTATAAAATAAACTATTTTGCATAGTTTTTTTGCGAAAAATGCTACAAATCAACATTTAATGGATTGATTTAAATTTTTATTATAAATCTATTCCGGAGTTAAGTTGTAGAGTCTACCTTAAAAGGTGTTTAATTTATTTGAAACATTTAAAACCACAAAATTAAAATTATACAAGTTATCTATCTATTAGAACTTGCCTATGTTTTGGTTGAGTTACTCGAAATCGAAATATTAGTATGTAGGATGATGTGTCATTCTAGTTGACACTCCTATTGCAAAATTTTTTAAAAACCTGATAGTTTAATTTCATTCTATTGCAGTTGTATTCGCAAAATTTCATTGATTGTCTTAATATTTTATACGAGGCTAGATTTAAAATTTCTTTAAAAATATATTATAATAATAGTCTACACCACTACACAGGGGAGGTTATTATACGTTTGTGATGATGTTTCTATCGCACTGAAATATTGGTCCTACACTCACCAACAGTATATCAAACTACTTAGAACCATTTTCAGTCGATTAAGCCATGTCAGCCCGTAGTCAAAGTATAGGTCGCAATTTAGAAGATAATTCGAAGAAAGTTGATTTTTTTGAAATTGGTCTATTATTTCATCCAGCCCCTATAAATCGAAACCCTTGAATATGGCTTTGGAGCTCACAATTATGTGAGCTCGGTTGTATATAAGTAAAAATCATACTTCCATAATTGACCATAGCCCCCATACAAAATTCTCTTCTGGAAATGCTTTAAGATAAATAATTGACTTATAAATACTTGTATCCCGACATAAATCAGTTTATATATTAACCAAAATTCATGACCACTTGTATAGCTCTAGGACAGAAGGACGGACATGGCTCGAACGTCTAATAATGAACCAGAATAATTAGACTTTTCCAAGTCTATTTATCAGAGTCGTAACTCAGATATTTGACTACAAATTTTGTATTTATTTTTTTATATTAAAAGTAAACATTTGTATCTTTAAAATAAAATAACATATTTGAAAATCGGTTGAAAAATACCAAACTTATGATTTTTCAAAATTAAAACTTTAAAAATGGCTCTTCTTCACATATTATATATGTACATATATATTCCAGGTCCTTATTAAATTCTGAGTCGATTTAGCTATGTCCGTATGTCTGTTTGTCTATCTGTCTGTGTAAAACACACTCACGTTAAAACTAAGCAATAAAATCAACCGAATTCTCCGAAAATATTTATTTTTTATTGTTTTAATAACGTAAAAAGTTATGAGTAAAAATTTCAGACTATTCTCGCCCAGGAATTATGTTCAAACTCAAAACAATCGATCCAAAATTAACCATAGCACCCATACAGAGGTACATATTCTCGGAAATAGATTTATCATTAATAACTTTGTAAAAATATCGGTATCACCTCGATTTTGCCTCTAAGTATATAATATTACCAAATTAGATCTGTATCGGTCCATAATTGGCCATAGTTCCACTTCCGAAAATCACTTAAATGCATACAACTAATTAAGAAATACAGATATTGGAATAATATCCGATATAAATATGTTTTGTGTATACATATGTATATGACTCTACAAAATTTTTTCGAATCGGTCCATAATTGGTCATATGTATATGTCATATAAGATCCACTTCCGAAAATAGCATAAATATAACTCGTGAGAGTGTTATATTCGGCTGTACCGAATCTCATATACCCACCATCCATCCATATGCCGTGAAAAAAATGCTCCCCTATAAATATCAGGGTAATATTACTCATCAAATTAACTGAAAAGGACCTTATATGAGAGATAGGGTTAATTATTGACCGTTTTTCATAAAATTGTTCATAATTTTTTTTTAGACCGATTTTGGTTCATATAAAACATCTTTACATCGAATATCACTTCCCGACACTTTCGGCATGAAATTCAATAAGAAGATTTGCGTTCCTATAAATATTTCTTATATCAAATTTCATAATTGTTCACGTATTATTAAGGCAGCAATAATCGTTAAAGTAATTTTCTTATGGACCGATCCTAAATAAATTTGGTAGAGAGATTTTAACTCGTATAAAACATCTGTATGTGTGTCTAATTTCATCGTTTTTCTCGTATTTTTAAGCCTATAATGAGGTCTAAAGTCATTTTCTGAAGAGGAGCTTATATGGGGGTCCATCATAGGCAGTTTCTCATAAAAGTCAGTAGAGAGGTTCTTGCTCGTAAAAAAACTTTCTTATGTCGAATTTCACCTCTATACTCGTACTTTTAAGGTAGTAATAACCGTTAAATTAATTACATGAAGCGGATCTTATAGTGGGGTAAGATCAATTATAGACCAATACTCATAAAATTTGGTATATGTCCGTTAATGCTGTTTTTCGGGGGTCCACTTGTATGGGGGCTATAATATTTCAATGTGGTACAAACGGATGAGAAAATCAATATACCCCTATCTCTTTTGATGGTGGGTATACAAATTTACATGAGTATATTAAGTATATTTATATCAGTTCGTAATTGGTCTTAGATCTCATATAAGGTCCACTTCCTAAAGACACTTTATCCCATATCTTTCATTAATATATACATAAATATATACCGATAAAATCCGATTAAATGGATATGTTCGGATTGGCCAATGATTGGTCATATCTCCATAAAAGGTCCATAAATTAGTTATGGACTTGATCAAAAGTATAGATATAACAAGTTAGAGTACTATATTCGGCTGAGCCGAATCTTAAATACCCTCCACCAGCTACTTTTATATTAATACTTTTTTAATTGATCAAATATTTGTAGAAACAAGTTTTCCCATGTCTTAAATAGAAAAACCCCAAGATTTAAACAGCTTAAATCTGTTACAATTCCAAGATTTATTGAACATAGATGTGCTTTTGCGATATTTAATAATGTGCATATATGCATGTGTGTGTAAGATTTAAGGATTTTCAAAATACATATATATATAATTTTGTTCTACACAAATTGATAATGCAACTAGTTAAATTCGGTTAAATTGGTTTTAGGGGCAGGACCTAGTATGGGAGATATAACCAATTATAGACGGATCGTAAAAAATTCTTTAAGCTTTTATATATTTCACTCAAATTTTGTATCTATATCGTAATTTAGTAATAAGCAATGTGTGTTCAAGTGATTTTCTGAAGGGACACTTGCATGGGACCGATCGCACCCATGTTATGGACCGATCGTGAAAAAATTTTGAAATAGAATTTTTGTATACCAAACTAATATTTGTGCCAAATTTTGTATCAATAGCTTTATTTGGTAATGAGTAACGTGCGTTTAAGAGATTTTCGTAAAAGGACCTTGTATGACCAATTATGTATATAAAGAGAAAATTTCAAAATTCTGTATCTATATCATTATTTGGCAATGAATATTGTGCATTTAAGTAATCTTCCGGAGGGGACCTAGTATGAGTGCTATGACCAAATATGGACCGATCGTAAAAAAATTTTATAGTGTAATTTATGTAAATAAGATCAATATTTGTGCTAAATGTATGGATATCAATATTTTGTAATGAGTTATGTGCGTTTAAGTGATTTTCGGAAGGGGACCTTGTATGGGAGCTATGACCAATTATGGACCGATCGGAAAAAAACTTTCATAGTAATATTTGTGTGTATGTGAGCAATACTTGCACCAAACTTTATATGGAAATCTTAATTTAGTAATGAGTTATGTGCGTTTAAGAGATTTTTGGAAGGGGACCTTGTATGGGAGCTATGACCAATTACGGACCGATCGGAAAAAAACTTTCATAGTAATATTTCTGTGTATGTGAGCAATACTTGTACCAAACTTTATATGGATATCTTAATTTAGTAATGAGTTATGTGCGTTTAAGTGAATGTACAATGATTCATATTTAGACAAAACATATTTGTGTCGAATTTTATCCCGATAGCTTTGTAATTCAATGAAATATATTAGTTTAAGTGATTTTCGGAAGTGGACCTTATATGGGAGCTATGACCAATTATTGGCCTATCCGGAAAAAATTTCGTAGAGTGATTCATATCTAGACTAAACATATTTGTGTCGAATTTTTCAAGATAGCTTTATTTGAAATATGAGCTTTTAAATGATTTTCGGAAGTAGGCCTTATATGGGAGCTATGGCCAATAATGGACAGATCCGTAAAAAAATTGGTAGATTGATTTGTATGTACACAAAACAAATTTAACTCGAATTTTATCACAATAGCTATATTCATCAATGAAATATATACGTTTAGGTGATTTTCGGAAGTGGACCTTTTATGGGAGCTATGACCAATTGTGGACCGACTGAGATCTACGTTGACTGTATGATTTCTGTTCATATTATATTTGCATGTACAACATTTTGTGTTGATACCGATATATTTGAGGGAGTTATTAACGATAAACTAATTTCCGGGAATATATACCTTTGTATGGGGGCTATGGGAAATATTCGGTCGATTGTAAAGATCTTGAACATAATTGATCACAGGCATAAAATAATAATGTGTGAGAAAATTCATCGAAATATCTTTGGTAGTTTCTGAGAAAACTTCAAAAGAATGTTGAAAAAACGTAATTTTTTTCGAGGTAGTTTGAAATTTTTACTCATAACTTTTTACGTTGTGAACCGATTTTGCTGCAATACCAAACTGCTTAGGATAATAATAAATACTTTGGGTGAATTTGGTTGATTTCCTTTGCTTAGTTTTAATGTGAGCGTGTTTTAAACAGACAGACGGACAGACGGACATAGCTAAATCGACTCAGAATTTGATAAGGACACAGAATATATATATACTTTGTTGGGTCTTAGATAAATATTTCTTGGTGTTACACACGGAACGACAAACTTATATATACCCTCTATCACCACTGATGGTGGTGGAGGGTATAAAAAGCAATTACTGAAGTGATAGCATCCTGATCAAGGAAGCAAATTTTGAACTTTCACAATTTATTAAATACGGATCTAAAAATATTTAAAAGGGTTTTGATAAAAAAAGGTACTTAAGATTCGGCATAGCCGAATATAGCACCCTAACTTGTTTATTTATCATTGAGCCTCGGTCTTTTCCGTTCTAAG